GTGGGCCAGCCCCGGCCGGGGCCGGGTGGGCGATCACGGCCCGCCGGGGGGCTGCGGAAATGGCAGGGAGCACCCCGAGACCGTGCCCGTGTCCGCGGGGGTGTTTCTAAAGGGGCTTCTGGTTTCCCCTTGGGTGTCGTTTTTAGCGGACAGCTATGCAGAATTTGAGTGGCGTTTCGGAAGCGCTCTGCTCTTTTCCAGCCTCTCTTGGCTGAGGGTTGTTACTGAATGGCTCCTGTTGGTACGGCAGCCAAATGGAATCCATGTCGGCATTCGACAGACGTGTTGTAAGCAGGATGGCGAAGTAGTAAAAGAGCGTTTAAGTCATTTGTGTCTCTGCATATGTGAAGTGCAGAGTGGTTGTGCAGGCTTTACTTTTAAGGCCGATATTCGTACTGTTTAAAGTACTTGAAACGCTAAAATATTTTTGAAGAGTATTTTTACTGGACAAATATTAAATATTGTTTACATGTTTAAATCACTTTATTGCACCAAAAGTAGCTAACCTCAACCTTCTTTACGATCATACAGTTAACAGGCAATATATAGGGTGTTTCTCAGGAAGGGATTGTAAAACAAATTGACGCTATCCTTCTGTTTTATGATTCATTATTTCCAATATGAGTAACTTAGAACGTTTCAGTAACATTCCATAGATTCAGAAATCATACTCTCAGAAAAAGCAAAGAGGTGTTTAAAAATGGAATGCTATCTAAATGCATGCTTGTACCACAAAAAGTAATTGAGGTTGGCACCATACTGGAATTACGGTAGGAAGACAGAATGTCTTTCTAGAACTGTATAAATTGAAAAGTCTGATAAGATCAAAATAGATTTTGGGTATATAAGTCCTAGTTTGGTTGGGTGCTTGAAAATTTGATTGACATTAGACACTAAGCGCATTGCTTAGTGGCACAGTAAATTGGTAATAAAGTAAAAATGTATTTCTCATGTGCTTTTCAATGCAGCTGAAAAAGTACACAGTTCTATTTTATTAGATGAATGACAGTCATTTAGCTTAATATTTCAGTGTTTGGTTTCAGATGTTTCATCAGGCAGTTTTTAATTTACAAACATTTCTCTTGTAATTTTAAATTTGATTAATAGGCAGCCTACAGCAACTTGATGTGTGCTACTAGGAGACAGGGAAAACAGGAGTAGGAAATACAGCTCTCTAATGAGTTTCATTGGGCCTGTTTTTATGCTGCCTTGAGGAGAAACAGCTCTCTTCTACTGTTGGTCGCTCGTTCCCAACCCAGCTCCATCTGTGCCAAGCCCACTGTCTGAGTAGCTGTGTAGCAAAATAGATTTGGAAATTCATCTGGTTAAAGACTAGCTTAGCAAGAAAGGAAAATAAAATTTTTCAGAGTCATTCAGAAAGATCAATTTGCTTAGCTGGGTTAATGTGCAGTCTTAGCACAAATAAGGCTAAAGAAATATGTAGATGGGGCCTTGGTTTTAGGACTGTTACTTAGAAAGACGGTGGGAACTACTCTTTCTGCATGTGGAATAGGCAAGGCAGCAGGTAAGGTTAATGTTTTTATTTTTCGGTGCAAGGTTGCTGAAAACATTTTCACTTGGAAAGGCTGAAGTAATGTTAAGATACTAGTTGATTCACTAGTCTTTAATTTCCTTGTTAAATTTTCTAATATAAATCTGGAATTAGAAAAGAAAATGAGAAAAGACTTTAGAGCTCTTACTTGGCTCAGGTTATGTGTAACTCGGATTTTGCCAGCATATGTGATCTGGAGCAAATTAGCACAATTTCTTCTGCAATTGTGCTTCTGAATTTGTACAGCAGACAACAGTGTAGTGCTTGATTATCTCTACTAGCTTTAGTGAACTAGTTTGACTACTGGAGAAGTTCAGTTATAGCTGCCTGGGGCTCCAAGGGAACTAATTTACTCCCTAGATAACATGTAAAAATAGGTTGGGTGGAGCTCTGGGGTGTGTTGTGTTTGGCAGCTTCTGGTGTATAAGGTAGCTCACTTGAAACTAGTGTCAGTATCACTTTATTATACTGTCTTGTGAGATGAATACACCTTCTAAGTAGCAGTGCTGTTAATTTTTTGTGTGCACACAGGTTGCATCTGCCTTTTGATAGCTAGATGATTTTTTGCACTGAGGTTGCTTAGTCCTGTGTTTTCATACCACTCTGGCTTTTAACTGTAAAGCAACTTCTTTTTGAAAAGCATTACAGTTCATTGAATAAGATAGGGAGCCCCACCGTTTTTTTATTTGTTTCTTTGGTCACAAATGCTGTACAGAGTTCTCTTGACTGAGATACGTACGGTTATATATGCAGAGCTCACTGTGAACTCCAGTTCTGCGGTGCTTTAGGCTTTTTAAATTAACTGGGTGTACTTAAGCAAGCGTAGAATCTCTTTAGAGTTGGGGTGTGCACCTATGCAGAATAATCACCATATTACTGAAACATGCAAAGTGTTTATTTAATACTTCATTGAGCAAAAGTGTTTAAAAAAATGCTATACAGTTTTCTAAAGCTAGGCCTAAAGTTAGTCTCCAAAATCCAATTTAGACTTTTAAAAATAAAATGGCATTCAAAATCCACAACTGTATTTAACTGCAGCATTTCTTTTATATCAGCACACTCATTATTTTCTTAAGAATCTTGAATGAATTAAAACCCATAACTTTGGGTATTCATAAGTGCCATCAGATACTTGATATGAGTTGAAGTACTAATTACTTTGAGAGGCAACATTCAGAGAACTACAAGCATTGGTAAATGGTTTGGAATGAAAGCTGCAGCGAAATAAAGGCTCTTGCATTGTACAGCATGGTTTCTTGATGTGTGCAGCATTACAGAAATTCAGTTTCACTTAAAAAAAAAAACAACAAAAAAAACCAAACAAAAACCAAACACCACCCCCCCCCCCCAAACCCAGCCAACCAACCAAAACCCAAAAAAACCACCACCAAATGGGGTCATCCTGAAATAGACTCCTATGGAGACCAAATGGCGATTCCTGAAATAGGCTATTATGTGATTGAAGGTGCATTAATAGAAGTATGGAGAATATTTAATCTTCAGTAACTGGAGGTTACAGGGATAAATACAGAGCTATGTATATGTAGTCCCTCTAACTTTTTGCCTGTATGCTTCCTGGAATTTCCTATATTTTAAGAAAAAAATAGAAACTGATAAGGTGCTTCCTCCTTGCTGCTCTGAATTTACGGATATGTGTCCAGCACACCAACATTGCAGTTAATGGAGATGGTTTCAGTTATTTTCTGGTGTGTATCTGGGGAGATTTCTTAAACTGAAGAAATAAATTTACCATTGTTACCATTTATTTCTTTATTTCTTTTATAAATTGTCAATAAAGCTGATTTAGAAACCCTAGAAAGAATAGTAATAGGACATAAACTATAAATATTTAGATGGAATAGTTTTGCTTACAGTACTTCTAAACAGAAGGCAAAGAGGGTATGCCAAGTGACTTTGAATAGCCAATATAAGCGATATTTTTACCTCTCAAGTGATTGAGGAGGAAAAGAAACAATTTTAACAGTAGGAGAGGGAGATTTATTGGAAGCGTTGTTGATACATGAAAGGTTACTTACTGATATATATGAATTGATTAAAAAACCCACTCTCACTGAAACGAACAGGATTTGTTGATATTATTGTAATCTGTATTTGAATTTATTTGCATGTGTAGATTTAATGAGAGTTTCTAAATTTATTTAATAATTGAATGCTTGTATTTTTAGGTAAAATTTGGAAATACAACATTTAAGACAGATGTGTATCCCAAATCACTTAATCCTCAGTGGAATTCTGAGTGGTTCAAGTTTGAAGTAAGTATTTTTTAAGAGTTTGCCTATATCTATGTAGACACTCTGGTTTAGATACCCTTGATGAAATAATTTCATTTCAGGCAGAAAATGAGTTTTGAGGAGTGAATTGTAGTTCTGTTTAAATACATGTGAAGCCTTTTCAGCAAACCTATCTACAGTTAGTCCTTGTTTGCTAAAGGTGTTTCATTGGCTTTTTAGGACTGTTTGTAAAGATAAAATCTTGCCAGATTGGATTCAGCTCAAATGTTATTCTGAGTAATACTAAAAAAGACAAGACAGAGGTGAAGGTGGGGGGGAGAACAGCATTATGGATTAGGCTTTCAGATGTCAGTATGGGTGCAGTTCTATTTTTTTAAAGGGGTAATTTTGAGTAAGGAAAGTTAATTGGTATTTGAAATGTTACTTTGGGTTGCAAAAATAATGCACTTGACAAAGAAGAAAATGGAGAATTCCTATGAGAAAATTACAAAATAAAGAGCTTGGACAACATTTATCGGACACTTTCTTTTCCCATTTCCTTATGTAATAATGAGGATACTCAGCTTTTTCCTGTAATTGCTTGTGCTTTCCTGCATCTAATTCGTTGATGTCTTGACATTATGCCCTGAACAAGTGTTTACATATTCTTCTTATTTTTTGTTATTGCATTTTTTTATTACCTTAAAAAATAATCATGTAATAGTATTTAGAATAAATTAATTGTTAAAACATTTGATTATATAGTACTGGTTCATTTATAGTGTTCTAAGATAATATCACAGTATAAACATGGTTGTAAATATATGTATGTGTCATGAGTGATGTAATAGCTGGTAGTGTTAGAACTATTTTAAAGCAAATATAAAATAGTAAGGTTGGGCAGATTATTATTCAACAAGGAATGCTTGATTAAGAGCATCTCTTAATGAGCAATCCATGTTGATTAAGAAAGTAGTACTGTGGTGTTGAAATTCAGGGTTTTTTTTATCTTTCAGTTCCTAGGGTCATTTTGGGGGGGAGGGGAAAGAGCTGATCTGTGTGGAGGGTTAACTCTGTTCATACAGAAAGGTTTTTTGACAGTAACAGAAATCTCAAAATTATCTTTTTGCATGGAAAAATGGATTTGGGAAAGAAAAGAGCCAAACAGCAACATTGGCGGAGGCGGGGAGGGGGGAAGAATTCCACATTTCAAAGAGTGGAAAAACACTAACTGCTTAAGACATTTTATATGTGTGTGTGTGTGTGTAGTTTGATCTTTTTGCAAGATTAGATGTTATAATTCTGCAAACACTTACGTGAGTCATCCCATTGCATTTAGCAAACCTGATTCTTCGTTTGTGATGTTCAACACAAAAAGTTGCAGGATGTCTTCTTTGTCCTAAAAAAATAGGTGAGGTATCTGTAGATGGATTATTGCATTTATTTGGAAAAGTGCATGTCTGAAATACTGAATTTTTAGAGCAGGTTGTATGAAATGTCTTGTCTTCTTTTAAGCCACTGACCAGTTTGGAAGGGTGAGAGCGCCAATGATCATAACTTTATAACTATTATAGGGGTATAATAGTACTCTGAGATGCTTTATCTTAAATTTTCTTTTTTTTTTTTATGAAAATGTGTATTGTGGAGATGGGTAGACAATCTAGGGAATGTGACTTAAATCATGTGGAATCACTGTAATCTTGCTCTTTTGTTCTTCTCCCAGTGATAACGCTGGTTCCAGGATCTCACCAGTCTGTGAAGGGGAAAATCAAAATAAGTGAATGCATTGTTTAGATGCAGGAAATTGAACTTAGAGATTTATCTGTGTCAGGTCACTGTACATAACTAACTCTCCTCTTTTTTGCATTTGTTTTTCAGCAGTGTTTCCTAGCATTTTTTTTAAATACTCAGATTCCATTTTAATATTTGTTTCTAGGTGGATGATGAGGAGCTACAAGATGAGCCTCTCCAGATCACAGTTCTTGATCATGATACCTACAGTGCTAACGATGCCATTGGCAAAGTGTACATAGATATTGATCCTTTGCTCTATAGTGAAGCAGCTACAGTTATTTCAGGATGGTTCCCAATTTATGATACTATTCATGGTAAGACTTGCTAATTTAAAAGTAAAACAATGTTGTTTGAGGTGTAGTCTGCTTCTTAAAAGCTTAATTTCTGTTCGCTGTCTTAAGAATTTTATAATAATTTTAGCCTTGAGAGCTGGAAAGCTACTTTTCTGGTGTTTTTTTTCCTTGTTTCTGGCATGAGAAAATTTTTGGCATAGTAGTTCAGACTAGTGCTTGGCAGAATGCCTTCCATAGATCTTGTGACAAGTGGAAAAAAAATCTTCACAGGGTATTTAAAATAGTTCCTGCAAAATTCAGATTAAAAAAAAGATGCAAACATACTTTTTCTATTACCACGTGTTTACTAAAATAATATACTTTTGCCGAAGTCACTTGGGGTGTGCCTTCCTGGGATGTTGGATAAACTTCACTTGAGTTGGAGGGACAGGATGTGACAGATCTTCAACATAAAGTACAGGATGAAATTCCTTTTCCCTGCAGAAAGTATTCTCAGTGCTAGGTACATTTCATCAGAATATCTTGAAGGTATGAGAAAATGAGGTTAATGACATTTTTGCCTTTGATTTTAATGCAACACAGCTTTTGTCCCAGAAAGTCAAGGTCGTTCACAGCAATTAGCTTGCTGCTTGAATACCTTATTGCAGAACATCTGTGCGGTTGTCATTACCACCCTTGTTCATTATCCAGTGTGAATTAAATGACGTAACTATGTTTAAAGCTAATTATAAATCATTGTTGGGAAATCGTGGTATTTAGTAGATGATCATTGTAACTGATGCAAAGTATTTTTTTATATTTAAAACAGTTTTATTGAAGAGTGTTTTTTTGAAAAATATTGCATGTATTTCTGTTACTTATCCCTTTGTTCTATTCACATTTTCCTATTGTACATTTTATTTTGAAGTTAAATTAGGTGAACAGTTGTCTCAGGATGTGTACAACTTGTATGTCAGAGAGAATTAGATTTCTGTATATTTTTCTAGATATGTTAGTATTTCACAACTTTTTCCTGTTAAGTAAAATCAGAATTCTTACATTTTCATGCTCATAGCAGTAGATGCTAATTATCTTGATCCTTGGCAAACAGTAATTGATGCTTCCTTAAAAAAGTAATGCGAACCTGAGGCACTTCCTGTTATAGTAACTGAAGGCTTCTTTCTGCTGGCATCTTGGAAGATAGATCTAGGTGACTTTAATGTAATAATGTCAGAGTAAATCTACAACTCTAATGCGTGCGTTTGAGTGTCATATACTTATGTAATAAAGGCTTCTGAAGACACTAGAGATCAGACTCATCAAGAAGTTTATTCCTCATTGTGTCAGAACCTATAATATGTGAAATGATTCTGTTATTGGGTGGGCAAAAAGAAGGAAAAAGTTCAGAATAGGTAAGTGGAAAAATCAAAAAAGAATGGCTGTATGTTGAGGAAATAGTCCGTTATTTAATTGTGGCCAAAAATTAAGCTTTTTCCAAAGAGTCTGTAATACCTTATTTTTTATGTATTTATTCTCATAGTCAAATGTTTTACAAACGTTTACTGTGCCACTTTGTGGTTCTAGAAAGAACCATAAATTTTCTCATTGGTTTAAACTTCAGAGAGTGGCTTTACTGTGATTTTTGAAACCATTTCAAGGAGAAAATATAAAGCTTTTTGGTGTTGGTCAGAGCTTTTTCATGTGGGCAGGACCATAGTTTCAAGGCATTTATACTCAAAGTTAGTACTGCCAACCTTTTGTGTTAAGGATATCTTGGGACAGTCATGGTGCGTAGATACTGATTTTATACCCTTCCTACTTTGATGGTCCAGGGCAAAGGAGTAGAGAGAGCACTTGCACACTGCAGCAGCGGTGGCTACTGTCGTATCAGGAGGCTGATGGCTTCTGTTTTCCCAATCCCATCTTTCTTCTGAAAGTCCTCTTTGTTGCAGCAGGTACTTGAGGACTGTTGCTTGCATAACTGCAGCCTCAAAGGCTTGGCAGAACTAGAAACTTCCTCTGAGATGTCTCTGCAGCAGACCTAAGAGGCAAGGAAATCTCTTCCTGCTCCTCTGGCCCAGGCTAGAATTGACATGTGAACTGCCAGTTGAACCGAGTGGTTCTAGCAGGGTTACAGTACATTCTTTGCAGAAAAACTAACTCATTGGTAATAGAAAGTGCATTAATTACTAATAATAGGGAGTAATTAATAGGGCTAGTATTGTATTAATTTCTGACACAGCTTTTCATTTTTCATGTTCTTTTGTTGATAGGTATACGTGGAGAGATAAATGTGGTGGTGAAAGTAGATCTCTTCAATGATTTAAACAGATTTAGGCAGTCATCCTGTGGAGTCAAGTTTTTTTGCAGTAAGTAGAGGAAAAAAGTTTATTTGAACAGAAAACCTTTTTCCCCCCTTCTTTTCTTTCTTCACCTGTTCTGTCAGTTTCCCTTCTTTCACCAGCTCATTGCATAAGCCCAGTGGAGATTACATTGAAGCCAGTAGCAAATGCAGAAAATCGTTTTGTTTCGTGTGCTTTTTTTAAATGAATTTTTCAATTGTTCATATTTCAAGACAATGTAAATAACTGGTGGGTTTTTTTTCCCCCGTTATCTTTTTTAAGTTGCATTTCAGTGCATGTGCATTCGCACATTATGTTATTTTGGGTGCATATCCTGTTAGAGGCACAAAGTGAAAAGGTTTCATAATGGTACATGTTGTAACTGATGTACTGGACAGTTATCTTATTAGTGTTCCAGGGTCTCCCAGAACAAAACTGCTTGGGTATGTCCATGTTTTAATAGAAAATCATGTGGATTACTTTCTGCAATCATTCACATCACTTCTTACGTGTAATTTTATGTTTTTCTTGGAATTCTTGGTTCAGACTCATGCCTTACATCTTTCATATATATATATATATTTTTTTTTTTAACAGCTACATCTATTCCGAAGTGTTACAGAGCAGTAATAATTCATGGATTTGTGGAAGAACTTGTAGTTAATGAAGACCCGGAATACCAGTGGATAGACCGAATTCGTACACCAAGGGCATCGAATGAGGCTAGACAAAGACTTATTTCACTCATGTCAGGTATTTAGCATGTAGGCTGTAGTGGTGATTGCTGCTTTTAAGAATATTCGCCATTTAAATAAGTGACTTGCTTAAGTCAAGATTGTATCTGATTTTTTTTGTATTAATTATGTTTATTTTTTCAGTTCAGTGTCTTCTGTTTCCAAAGGTTCTATTGTCCAAACTGATGGCCAGTATGGGTGACTTTTTTTTTTTTTTTTCCTCCTCCTTCTTGATGATGCCATGCAGCTGTCTAATTTGTTGGTTGTTTTTAGGAAGGTCAGAGAAACCTGTGGAACTTCCTTGAAGATGTTCTTAACCCATATGAGGAGTATTACTAGAATTTTGACTCAAACCATTAAAATAACAAACTACTCCACTGTCTTTGAACTAATTTGTGTATATTTGTTCATATACTTCAATCTCAGATACTGTGTGTATTAATACTTATCCTGCTCATCCCATCTTTTCAAAGTCAAGATAGGTTCATTGTTTCTCAAGCATACTTCTGTATTGCCTTGCATTGTTTCTGCAGGACATACCTGCAGTTCCTGGAGACACCAGTGATTAGAGTCAGTTGATGTCTCCACAGTATCAAGTATCTTCACAGATTTTTTTTTTTTAATGTGTGTGTATTACTGATGCTTATGAACAGCAATTGTGAACCAAGATCCTCCTGTTTCAGCGCCAATAGAACAGAACAAAACACCCCTACTGTAGAGTACTTGCACATGAAGACAAGAGGCAATTAATAGATAGAGGTGGACAATATTGAAGGTGTAAGGAATACAAAGAAATGATGAAAAACAGCTACTAGAATGATAGGCAGTGGTTTCAGTTCTCTAATGGGCTCTTAATGTTAGATTTCTTGTAGATATAGCTATGTTTTAAGGAAGATACTAAAAGACAAAGTGAGTAGGGTTTTGCAAGCATGTATGGAGATCTTTAGTAAGTGGGGCAAGAGGTCATGGAGATGTTACTGAGTATCTTCATTAGGAAAGTCAGCACGTTTTGAGGAAAAATGTGAAAAAACAATATTGTCATAACTGACATGAATTCACTTTTTAGGAGGTTTTTAATATAACTCCCCTAGTATATCAGTTGCATATCTCTTGCCCTGCATAAATAATGAAAGTGGATAAAGTAGCACATGTGGAAGTATTCTGCTAGATTTTATTAATATTTTTATTCATAGCAGTGGTTAAGAGGAAAACACCCAGAAGACCTCATAGCAGTACTGTTTTGTATCATGTAATATAATGCTTCACATTGCAATCATTGTTACTGGTGGCCACACCTAAAGAATCCTGAAGAAATCTGTAACTTCTGAGAATGACCCAGACTGTTTCATAGACCTCTCTCATATTATGTGTTGTGTATGTAAAAAAGAATTCAGTCTCAACCTTGGCTTGAATGGAATCCATAGCAGTTTTCACTCAGCTGGAAACTTTCATACTCAACCTCAATCTTGGAGATCTTTCAAGACCAGTACAGGCATAATTTCAGACTCTGTTAAGAAGTTTACAATAGGCACCTATTCTGGTAATTTTAAATCCAAGCTTCTAGAAAGCAGTAGTGATCACTTCATTCCACTTGGATTTCTTAACATCATTGACATTGTGACTGTTAGGTTATCCTCTGTGACAGCGAAGCTTTTTCAGCTTGTTAACAGGATTTTGGAGATCTTTCATTTTTATCACAAGAGAGATTATATTTTCCACCTAGTATTACCAAGAAATCTAGCTACATAGATCAATTAACTTTTTTTTTTTTAAACATCCTGCTAAGTAAGCATCTATGGCAGACCGTTGTCTTATAGTTACAGCCTTTCAGTCCTTGTGTGCAGCTAATAAAGGAGAAATTGCAGTTTTTTGTTTGCAGTGAGAGTGCCATATTTGGTATCCTATTTTGTTTATTTGGCATTACGTTTTGTAGATGAGGCTGCCATATTAAACACTATTAATTTAAAAAGAGCAAAGAGTATGAATTAGGTTGAAATATGCTTAAATAAGTGTAAATAAAAAATTGTAGATGCCTATCCATATGGATTTCAAAGATGTTGCATTGTTGTGAACTGTATCAAGGACTGCTTAGAAACTTGTGTGTTTCAGCACACATCTTGATCATCTCTTTCTCTAAATAAGTAAAAAAGGGAAAAACAATGAAAATAAAAAGAGAAAAACATTTCTGAAATAACATGTTGTTTTGGAAATCAGAATAGATTTGGAGAAAAAAGGAAAAAAGCTGTGCGAATCGTGAGTATCACATGATGTTATAGGAGGCAGAGATTGTGACCAACTGCTTGGCCCAATTATGTAAGCTTGGATCTATTACCTGTTTTAACTGACTGGGTTGGCAATTCCAAAAGCAGAGGCCAAAGACCACAAAAGAGAATAGGGAAAGTTCACTGCAATTATGAGCTTTTTACCTTTTGTTTTGTAGGTGAATTGCAAAGGAAGATTGGCTTGAAGGTGCTTGAAATGAGAGGAAATGCTGTTGTTGGTTATTTGCAGTGTTTTGATTTGGAGGGAGAGTCTGGACTAGTAGTGCGAGCCATAGGAACAGCCTGCACATTGGATAAATTAAGTAACACATCAGCATTTTTACCTGCATGTAACTCCCCATCCAAAGAAATGAAGGAGTAAGTATGAATTAATAGTTTGTAGGGAAACAAGTTTCATCCCTCTTCTTTTCATACTCATTCAGTTTTACATAACTGGTGTGATTTCTTTTTTCCCCAGAATTTGTTTTTCTTTTGTAGTTTTATTTGTCTGCAACTCAGTTGATATTCCACAATTTTGAAGTGTTTTAGGTTGGATTACTTATGTTATTTCTTTAGAAGCTGAAGTGGTAATCCTTACTTAATATGACTTTTTTGAATTTACATAGCAACGGTATTATGTATCCTTGGGTTGTGATCCACCAATTTCCTAACTAATAATTAGTTCTTTGACTCTGTGTTTGTACAATAAACATTTTTGTGAGGGCTTCGTATGATATATCTTCTGTTCAAGATTTTCCAAGTTCAGTACAATCAGGTTGGAGCATTTATGCTGAGCATGTAAGAAAAGATAAATTTTGAATTCAGACAGTTGTGTCAGTGATTTAGAGAATGACCCTGAAGTAGTCTCGTCTTCTCTTGTGTGCTTTGCTTTTTACTGTTGCAAAACAAGTAGAGCTATTGCAAAATAGGTGGAGTTAAACAGTGTACTTGCAGAGAAGACTTTTTATGATGGGAGGTAGAATTTCTTGATCTTTGTTATATCTACTGCAGCACCAAACACAGTTTGAATACAATTTTTTAATGTGCATACAAATTAATAGAAAAATACTTACTGTCTTCTTCAAATTGTTACTACTTTGTTGCTTGGATAAGTTAGTTACTTTGTTTGGTAGAGTGATCCAATTTCTGGAAGGAAAAAATGGCAGCAAAAAGTTTACTACTTGTGCTATGTTTCCAGATGCATTAATTGAATTAGCCATTTTCATTAACTTGAACTGTTGTGTCATTACAATAGCAATTAGGCATTTTTGTTGTGCAGGCATCGGTATGCTCTGACTTCTCAAAATTACTGGTTTCTATTTCAAATCATAGCTTGTTTAACTTGTCTTAATTTTAAAAATTTGCCATCAAAAGAGCTTCTGGATACAATGCAGCATAAAATAACAGTGGTGATTTAAGAAAAAAAAAAAAAAAGGTGGACCTGGTAACTACCAACTTAAGAAGCATTCATAAATAAATCGGTAGCTTTCACCCTGGAGCAAAATGCGGAAATTCCACCCCGCAAATAATCCACATTCAGCTTGGTGGTGGTTATTGTCAGAATCATTGTCCCTCAGTCCAAAAAACCAGAATGTTTCTCAAAGCCAGCAAAATCAACTAATACTTCTTATTCTTGGCTTTACTAACTTGATGCCCTGTTGCCAAAGAATCAATTACGCATTCACAAGCTAGTGCTTAAGCTGTTCCTTTCTCTCTTTTTATTTCATCTGGACTCTTGCATGCTAGGAATTTAAATTCTTAGAGTCTGCTTAAAGTAAGAGATCTCCTCTAGCTAAACTTCCCTGAAATCATTTATAACATAACTTTGCAACCTGTTTGTATGTATTGTTTTCTTTTCTTCCACCTTGGCTGCAAATTCTCTCAGGTCTCCGCTGGTTCATCCGCCAAGCCATGGATGCCGCTCGACTCACAACAGCCCAATTCACACTGCTACTGGCTCACGACTTACTCAGAACTTCTCTGTGTCTGTTCCCACTCTCATCTACACTGGTACGAGACTGCTCAGACTCAAGAGCTGGGGAGAGGCAGGCCACAGGCACAGTGGTCGCAAAGTGCAGGCAGGCAGGCAGTGTAGGCAGGTACCACCCATCTTTTCTCCCTCATTTTCTCATGGAGACACCTTCTATTGTCAGTGAAGAACTACTCTGTGTGCAGCTGCTGAAACAAAGGCAATAGTTTCTTGAAAATGCATCGGAGTCTCTTCCACAAAGCCACACTCTTCATTTCTTTTTAACATGCTTACTTCCTAAGAAATTAAGTAAAAATAAGTTGATGTATCTGGGGAACATACATGTTTTGATTGGAGTTCATAATTGCTTTCAAGCATAATTCAGATATGGTATTTAGGTTTTAAAATGGTTCTAGGAAGGGTATGTGCCATTTGTGGAAGAGATGGTTTTAGAGAGCAGGTAAGTCAATCTGTGCATAAGTGAACTGTTTGTCAATATAGTTGTTCCCATAAAGATTCTCCTCTTTGCTCTGTTTTTAGCTGTGGCATGCTGCTGATGCTATAGGATAAGGAAACATTTTTTTTTTTTTTTCCCTTAAAATGCATATGTGTGTGTATACATAAATGTATGAATATGTATAAACACAAATATAATTTGAAATCATTTTTTCTTTATTAAACTAACTCAAAGCATTGTGTATTTGACCAGATTTTTAAGCCATAAACTGTTCTCAGTTTTTTCTTTTGCATATATATAATTTTTTTGTCACATCTCATGCCTTTCATTTGGCTTAATTGTTTTGTTGTAGATTATCAGCATCTATCTGTAGAATGCTGAATGGGTAAAACAGCATTTCTTTGCCTCTGGCCTCATCCCCAGTCTCGCACCTAAGGAATAGCTGCTGGCCCTGCCCCAATCCCATCCTGGTGTTTGGATCATGCTGCTGTCAGCCAGGTCCTTTGGCACAGGATTACTGAATATGTTTCCACCTTCTTCTGGCAGGATTCCCTTCAATGAAGATCCCAATCCCAATACTCATTCATCAGGACCCTCCACCCCTCTGAAAAACCAAACCTATTCCTTTTCACCTTCCAAGTCCTACAGTCGACAGTCCTCTTCTTCTGACACAGATTTGAGTTTGACACCCAAAACTGGTAAGGCGCTTCCACCCACTTTTTGTTTTAATTTGTGTTTCTCTTTTTATATTTTCATTCAACCCCTTTTTGCTTTTTGGCATTTAAGTTATCAAAATGATGTGGAAATTGGAGACTTTAGATAGCACCCCTCAAGCTTGAAAGGGTTTCTGTAGGGTGAAAATTTTAAATCCTGCCTATATTTCCACTATTCTGGATAACATTAAAATGACATTTGTAACACAACTGTATTCAAGTTGAAATAAAACATCTGAGAGCGTTAAGGGAGTCCTAAGTAACTGCCTTTTTCTTATTTCCTCCATTTCATATTACAAATCATGGGAGTACATTTCTCACCACAGTATGTTAAGGACAGTGTTACTAAAACTATGTAGTCATCAGGCCTAATGTGTTGTGCTATAAGTATATTGTATACATGTCTCTGATTTTTAACTCCTTTTTGCAAATGCGATACTAGAAATGTAGCAGCTGCTGTCTTTTTATTCTCCTTGGTATACGAAAATGGCTTTACACACACGGTATACATTTTGAAAGTAACTTAAGTTATACTCCAGCCATCTTCAAAAGCATTTTTCTTTCTCCATTGGGCTATCATAATTTCTTCAGCTTGTTTCCTTCCTCATTTTTTAGTCTGTGGTTAGAATTATTTCAGCAGTGATGTCAGCACAACTCAAAGAATTATTGTTTGTTTATTCTCCATTATGTAACCTATGCCTTGAATTTTACTACCATAGGGCAAATTATTTTGCAGAATTGTTTATAAAAGTTTGGTTGTGTTTTAAATGGTGTTTTAAATTGTGGTATTTGAAGCTCAGAACATTCTTGTCTCCGTCTAATCTAGTCAATTTTTAAGCATATTAAAGCAGTTGATTCAGCTTTACTTCTTGATAGCACCCCTTTCAAGAATTTTTCCAAGTAGATAAGTTAAATGTTGCATTTGAATGCAGTTTTATTAAATATTTTACCCAGTTTATTCCCTAGATACCTGTTAAAAAATGTTCCCAATTAGGAAGCTGTCTTTTTTAGTACTATCTTCTCTGTCCTGTTTTTAAAAAAAACAGCAAACAAAAGCACGCTTTTTTTTTTTTGGTCCTTTTGTGTAAATGATAACTGTTTTGTGGATAACCTATGGTGGTCACTTGTTTAAAGGACCTACAAATATAACTGGATGTTTATTGCATAGGAGAACCACAAATTAATGTATTTGGTTTGGAATATTTGGAAACCTGTTTCTTTTGATCAGTTTTTCCGTGGTAAGAATCATGTCGAGTAAAGGATTTAAATGTTACATGGATGGTCATCTTTACAGATGTAAATGTTCTGAATTCATGAAGGTGGCAGCTCATTGTGAATTTGTCAAGTTTTTAAAGCGGCAACCTTATATCATCTCTGGCAATGTTACGTAGGTAGATGGGCCCTCTCTTTAGTCAGTTCATTCAGAACTGAAACAGATTGGGTCATCAGTACCTCTTATTTGGGGGGATTTTTCAAGTATATAAAGATATTTTTTAGCTATCTTTTTAGTATTAAAGCTAATAGCGGGCATGCTTTTGCTTACTAGCACTGTCTTTTTAGCAGCTTTTAACTCTGCTACTGAAACTTGCCTTAAGAGGATTTGCTGGTTGCATTTAAAAATTCTGTATCTTAGTATTACAGGCTAGATTTTGAAACTTAATAGCTTAAAAGCACAGTATCTCGAGTCATTTGTTTCACCTGTTACCAAAAATTTGATGATGTGCAGAAGATACTTCCATAACATACTAAATTCAGTATGTTGTTTTTAGCAATCACTGTATATGTTTAGACCTCTGTTTTCATTTCCTAAGACTGTTATTAGGTTGGAATATTTCAGTGTGAAAGTTGGTGATGTTAGTGTTTAAAAAAAAAAAGGCAAACAAGTGACACATGAAACATTACCAAATTTGAGATACCCATTACTCAGATTGGCTGATGTGAAAAATGAAGTATTTTCTGATATTTCTGCAGTACATATTATTCCTCTATTTCTCAGTCAGGTAGCTAGTGTGTTCATGTGTTTGAGATGGAGACTAACCTGGAAAGAGTGCAGATACCACAATTTCACAGCATGAATAATTAAATAGCAGAGACTGAAACTTGGATCTACTTAAGCATCTAGTTTTCAGTAGCTCCAAACCAGGAGAATATTACCTTAATGTCTTCTATAAAATACAATTGTGATTGTGTTATCCATTCTGGTCTATACCTGGTCTAAATATGAGGGGAAATTATTCTGTGCTGAGAAAGCTTGTTTTGGTTTGAAGTTCGATGACTTCTGTGAATAGTGATACATTTTATGCCACTGCAAACTAGCAGAATATCAGGCTGATGAAAAGCATGACATATTTTAATCAGGTAATACATTTTGATGTGACATAGTATATGTTTGGAGGAAATTGAGAAGGTGGGAACTCCTTTTCTTTGTGGGAACTCTACAAGATTCATGACTCTAAAAATCATAAACAAATCCATGACTTCTCTGGAAAATAACTTTTTATACCCAAGTAATGAAAGTAATCAAATTAAATGTGTGAGAAGACTGTGTTATTTAGCCTTTACTCCATAGTATTTGTTATCAAATTTTGTATAAAATTTAAAATAAATGTTAGATTGCCATGGCTTTTAAAAAAAAATTTCAGAATTTAATCGGGTCATGATTTTTGAGAACATGCTTCTCATTCACATTGTGGAGCCGTATTGTCATTCTGTTTCTTTGTTTGTTGAGAAATAATTCAGCAGTAAGTGCTGGTTCATTTGGAGAAAAAAAAAATGCTTCATTTTGATTTCTTCCGTCTGTTTTTTTTAGTCATCTTCTGAATCTACATCTCTTTGTCTCTATTACTTTCCTCCACAGCACCTTCCCCACAGGGACCTAGGATTTTCCTGTTTCCCAGCTCCCCTACACTCTCTTGTGATTCCCCACATCTTAAAAAGTCCTGTCTCCTCCTCTCGGGGTCTAGCCTTAACCCTCTACACTCTAGCCATGTCAGCCCAGTTGTTCTGAGGAAAAGTGTTTCTTTCACTGAAGAGCTGCTTCTGGCTGCTTCTGGTAGGATCAATCTATTATGGCCTTTTAAACAAACTTTTAAGAAAATGTTGTTGTTATTTGATACGGGGGCATTTAACACACAGCCTTCTATAACCCTATGTTTTTGTTCAATTAGCCTCTGAAAACTGCTGGCTACATGACTATTCATACCATCTCTCACCTCTGCCCCAGAAGCTTGAAATGGCTTCAGAACTTACAGGATTTGAAACATGTAGTTTATGCTACAGAACTTTCTCCTTTTCCCTCTCAAAATTTCCTTTGGCAATTGGACTAAAATAATTTACTTTTTTTTTAATCCCTCTCATTCCCTTCACTTTGTTGTTCCTATATTTTGCATGGAACAAGCACTTGCTCATTAATTTATTTATAATTTATTGAAATAATGGCTATCAGATGGCTAGCAACTTTGCTCTTTAATGTTCTAAACAAAGCCTGTACAAAGTTTTTATTTGTACTGCTTCCTTTTCCATTTCACTTGACATGCATTATTTTCATAGATTTAAATTAAATAGTTGATATTACTGCTTTTTTCTGTAGAAACTATTTTGATTAGTTTACATTTTTTGAGTTTGTTTCATGTCCAGTATTTATGCTATGTTTGTCTGATTTACTATTGTATGGTCCCTGACAATGATGTTTAGAATCAATGCCAAATAGTAAAAGCGATTTAATCTTGTTTAATGGGACTATACAGATACTAATATTTTTGTTTCCTTATCCAAGAACAGCTAAAAATATTTTTTTTAAATTACAGTATTTTATATATATATAATTATATGGTAATGATAGCCTAGTAATTTTTGAAAATGTTAGGAATTAATTAACATACATTATTAAGTCCAGTATTATTTCCAGATCTCCCAGTCTTTGGTTAAAACAAATAACTGCACTATGATGTATATGTACAATCTCATTCATGTTTATTAGATGCTTGATCAGAAGAAAAAAAAAACTAGCAAGGAACTGTTACATTAAATTAGTTATAAATTCTGTAAAGAAAACCTTGGCTTCATTCATAACTGTTGCACTGTAGTGTTTGTATTTCATCCTGCTCCTGACACTTTTTTTTTGTTCTTTATCCTGTGCTTTCCTATACAACTTAGGTGTTTATTTTTGCTTTGTCAAGTTAGCACTGATGATTTTAGATACAAGAAATACCAATGATAGTATGTTTTTAGGCATGAAGTATTACTAAGAAAATCTGATTCACCAGCATTGTGTTTACTTTAGGAAAAACACAATCTTGGTATGTGTTTATTTTTTACTTTTGTGATTTCTAACTGTAGAGGAAATAACTTACTGTCATACATATAACCTGCATCTTGACAGACTCAGTTAAGAGTACAGTTCCTTGATAACAGATAATTCAATAGCAAAGATATTTGTGTATCTGATAAACTTTGATCTCTTCAGAAAAGCTCCTGTATTGGGGGGTAGGAGTGGGAGTAAAATATGTGAAGGAAGGAAAGAGAGAATTACTTGTATTATGCAAAACTGGAGTTTATTTCTGATTTTCATTTACAGATAATCTGCAGGTTATGTGTGTGCATATATAGTAATCAAATAAGTGTGGCAGTTTTAAATGCTGAGCAGTAGTCCTTAGCTTATTTGAATGAATCAGATGAGTGAATATTTCATTGCATAGATATTAAAGAAAATAAAAATAACTGGTATTTTTTTTTCAGAGTTTATATTTCAAATCAAAGGATGTGCATTGCCTTTGCAATTTTCTTTTTGGTCCCAATCATGCATTATATGGCTACTGCTGTAATTGTGTGTACAGTCTCCTCCCAGTTAGGAGAGGTGATTTAGTTACTCTGAAACTCTCAGAAAGCCAGATTTTTATTACTTTTTTTTTTTTACTGATAATGATAGTAGAGAGAGAGACTATGAAGTCGTCTGGCAGAGAGGCATCGTTCAACAGTCTGGAATTAATGGTGACATTTCAGCCCTTTTTGATAAGGCCTGAAAATCTGATTATGTAGAAACTTTCTGTTAAAGGCAGAGAAGGTAGATCTATATTGAAAGCATAGGCAAAACTCCCAACAGTAACAAGAAGAAACAAAAAAAGGTAGTTATATGTCATAGGAAAGAATTGCAAGCCCAGATCTTTAAGTCTTTGTATTTTGAAGTTTTTTTTGAAATTCAGGTTGACAGCAGAAAAAGATCTTAGATCAGGGGGGTTTTGTCTAAATGCTAAAAAACGACTGCTAGTCATGTGAAAACCAAATCCCAAACAGCCCCCCCCCAAGCCCAAATTAAACTGGGTGCTCAGCATTTCTTTTCTGAAAATTTAAATTATGGGGATAATTTGACTGTTTTCAGTGACTATTATGTATATTTTAAAATCAAAGTTTGATTACAAATTATAATATATGTTTCTTTGAATGTTGTTTGTACTGATACTCTTCAGGAATGGGCAGTGGGAGTGCTGGAAAAGAAGGGGGGCCATTTAAAACTCTTTTAAGACAACAGACTCAGTCAGCTCTGGAACAAAGGGTAAGGCATTTTATACTTACATTGCTGATCTACTAAAGTGAAAACTTAGCTTGTAGTAAGTTAAATGTTTCCTGTTACTTTCTGTTTAAAAATACGTGTAACTTTTAGGTCAGAAGACGTACTGCAAATATTGAACATTTAATAGCCATTTTATATACAAATTATTTAAATTTTAATGTTACTAAAGCATTAAGAAAAGTGGAGCAACTAACTGTAATGTGCACAGCACTCAAGTGATTACAGTTGGTGGTGTAAGAAACAGAGCAAAAATTACTGCTGTTTAGTCTCTTGAAGTTATTGATGCGTGTGTAAGTGTACTATTTTACCATCATGTATTAAGTTTTTACAGAAGCCAAATTCAGAAACATTGGAATAGCTTTAAACAAGGAGAATATCCCATTTATAATTGTGAAAACTTTCAGTTTTGAAAAATAGAGTTGGCACATAATTTGGCCTTTGTTCCACAACATGAAAAGGTGTGCGTGTAGCCTTTAAAAAATGGTAACTTACATAAACCTAAATCACTTCCCAAGCAATAAGAGGATTTACAGCCTTTTGAAGAACCTCTATAGGACTAAAAATGTGATCTGTTGTTATGCCGAATAGACTGTATAATAAAAATAGTGGTTATAATTCTTTGTTTAAACTTTGGAATGAGTCCTTGCAACTTTTTTTTAATAGGTTATATACTGCTTTTGTCAAAATGTTATTAGTGAGGTGTCTTGAAGGCAGAAATGTGAATGTTTTCCTATTCAGAAATAACTTCTAGTTTAATTACAATTTCTGGCTACCTGAACTAATTACATAGAACCATATATGTTTGTTGAAAACAAAATCAGCTACCTCTGTGAAATATAAGTGAATAGCTACTATTTTGAGTAAGTGGATGATTCTCTTCTCATTTTTTGTGTTATCGATTGCTAAGGGAGGATCGCCTCATAGGTTCTGTAGAAGGCGGGTATGTTCCAAAACATTGTGTGACTCTTTTTGTAGCCCTTATTTCTTGTATTGAGGATTTCTAAACAATTATTTGAAATATTTTGGTTTTCTTTTTTGTGAGGTTTTGCAGATTTCTTTGTAATCTTGTTTATGCAGAATTTTAAAATATTTGTAATGTTATTTTCAAGAACATTTATCAGATGGTAATATTTTTGCTTAGTATTTTGCATGTTGATACATTTCCATTAACATTTTAATTTCTCTTTAATTACAAATCCATGGCTTTTTGTTTTTAACGTTTTAGTTTGAAAAAAATGCTTTAAAAAGAGCCTTTTCTCTGTTTACCTTTGTTTTTGCTAGCTTTTCAGACATTTCATGGCTGATCTGTTATTTCCTTAGGAAGCTTTTTAAAAATAATTGAAAATGTAAATTAAGAGCACTTAATGCATTTTTAGAGCTTGAATTATTTGCACACTGTTTTGATAAGGCCTGTGTATGGTCTGGTGGAAAAAAAATACAGTAAAATGGGATGGAAACGGGTTGAGTCTGTTATTGATGATGACGTAGCAAAGCATGCAGACTGTTAATTGATACAAAAAATATGTTCCTGCTGTCTTTCTGAAAATTTCATATTGGATGTGGTTTTGCTATGGTTACATTTTACGGTCACCTTAAGGTTGAGTTACTTAACTAGAATGAATAACACAAGTTGTTTTGTATGTTTTAATATCGCACACATAAATAGTGCACTCTAGTTACCTGTCTGGATTAGTTAGGGTAGCGCTTATTTGGGAAAACAAAGAATAAATTCAATATGTATAATATAGTTCTACATATATTAGATACATGGTAAGTTCTTTTGAGTCTTAGTACAGTTTATTTGGGTATATGGTAGTGCTAAGGCATATTAAAACCCATTCATTTAACTGGATGTCTCCACAGCTTTTTTTTTTAATCAGATGTGTTTTTAATGTGTTAGTTAAATAACCCTAATTGCAAACGAGAACAGATTTTGTTGGAGCGGTAATATTACTTGATTTCTTCTGGTAAAATACACCAGCTATGGAAAACTCACATACATGTTACGTTGTACTTTTAAGATATTTTTAGCAATTCACAGGATGCCTGTTGATAGCAAGTGTAACTCTAGCACAGCTATCTTTGTGTATATTTTTACCTATAAAAGTGTATGTTGTATTTCCATCAGTGGGAAAATTTGAGCTTACTTTACTCATAAAAAAATTAGCCTACATTTTTGTAGAAATGTCCAAATGCTGCTCTTGATGGTATTTTGTATCTCTGACCTCAGCTTGGACAAATGCTGTTTTATTCCTCCATGTTTGCATTCTGCAAGTGCTTGAGATCTTTACTGCTGCCTTTTCAAAATGGAGATCTGTTGATCTTCATCTCTGAAGAGCACTGCTAGATAACTGTTGTGTTAGAGTGCCGTTCTCTGTGTGATTCTTTTGGCTGAAATGCCAACTCAAGCAACTTTTCTTTCCAGCACCTTCTTGTTACTATCCAGCCCAGAGATGGCACAGTAAATGTGCTTAGAATAAAAATAATTCAACCAGGAAATTAACAGTATATTAATGTGGACCAGTTCCCTACTCTGGTTCAGCCCAGAAAGCTCTATGAACATACCTGAGCATTACGAGCATTATCTGAGGGAGTGGTGCAATGATGGGAATGAATGAATGGCTGGAAGGGACTCTTGAGAACTGCTTCAGCTGGCACTAACACCACATGATATGTGTGTGTAACCTTGTTCCATGTGCTTTTCATTATTTTGTGTGTCTTTGTGTGAAATGTAGTTAAAAAAGAACACTAGCAATACATGTATACATATACAGAAATATTTTTAAACATTGTATTAAAAAAATATTTATGAGGATTTTATTGTAACCTTATCAGACTTTCCCCAAATACCAACTATAACATCTTTATGTAGTTGCAAGGATTAAACCAGTGACAGTTCTTTCAGGGTCTATGCAGTCAATGACTGTGAAATGGCATAGTGAATTGGTATTGGTAGAAGGATTGACCATCTTCAGTTGTAGCTTGGAAACTTTAAGGTTATTGTGTCTTCTTACATGTGGGAATACTCTGTGCTTGCATCACCTTGATTGCAGTAATAGAGGAGATTTGTAATAAAGAAACACTGCGTCTGGTTCTTACAGAATCTCTGTTTTCCGTGCAATAAGTATAGCTTTATAATTTTTAAGTATTGCAGGTTACCACATGTAATTGAGGCTGGAACTTGTGTTTGAGTAATATAATAGTAAAAAACCCAAATCCTCTAAATGAGCTTAAAGGGGAAGAAAAGCCATCGTATGAAGTGATGGCATTCCATCTGCGTCAGAATGAATGAGACATTATTAATGGAATAAGAGTATGTCAGAATGGTTCAGTCGGTTACCCATGTTTGCCTGCCGCTGAAATTAACTGATAGGACATAGGTCTAATTTTAGCATGTATCTTATACAGACTTGCAAGTATCGATATGTTGATTGAGATAAAGCCGGGTTACTATTTTATAGTTTTATTCCTGGTTTGTAGTGTAGGGAGTCAGGCAAACTGGAAGTCTGAACATGTTAAAATTACTTGCAGTACACAGCCTTACGAAAATGAACAAAAAATGAAAGTAATTTCTGAATCTTCATATAGATTAAAGAGCATTGGATGTGCTTATGCTTCAGAGCATGGAGTATCATTCACTTTGTTCACTACATACTACTTTAGCACAATGTAAGTGTGAGTATATATGTATATATAAAATGCGAATGTAGTATGGGCTTAATGGAATTTCATACAGGTGGCATATGCAGTAGACTTATTGATTTCTATGTTTCTGGGAAAGCTGATTATTTTTAATGTCATTAATGTTGGATAACTATATTCAAGGGACAGAGCAAACGTGTATGTTACATATTTAAATGTAAGTTAGGCAGAATGAGTGTCATGGAATTATACAGGGACAAATATTATCAGTATGCTTGTGAATCACTGAACAGTTGATATTACAGAACCACAGTGAAAGAGGGTTCTAACAAAGTGTTGATATACTGTACTGCATTTTTTCCATTTTTCATCATGAAAGATGTACAGAAGAGGAGTTCAGACTGTGTTGTAGTCAGAGCTTTCTGACTGTTCTGATAACCTGCAAAGCACTTTGTGATCTGTTAGAACCTTCTGGATGAATCTTGATGTAGCCCTCTCTAGAGATCCATCGGTGATCTTGAAGACAGATTAGTCAAGCAGGTTTGCAGAGTCCTGTGGTGAAATCTTTCTGCTTTTTAATTGCATCATAAGGCACAACTGTAGGTTTTAGTGTTTTTGGGGGTTGGTTTGGTTTGGGTTGGTTTGTTTGTTTTTCCTTCTGGTTGTTGATACTGTGGTTGCTGATTTCAAAGTTTGCCTCTTAATTTTGAAAGTCTAAGCCAAACAAAAATCCAGAAAACTTGAAGTTTGCAGGATCTTTTAAAAGTTGTAAGAGTTCTAATAACAAGTGTGGCAAGAATTCTGAAGTATTAATTTTTAAATCTCCATTGGACTTAAGTTTAAGAGGAATTTTCATGCCATGTATTGCTGGAAGAACCATGATCCTCATTTAATCTGCAGCATGTACGCTGTTTAGGTAGAAGCTCAGTTGAACTGTACTTTTGCAAGTGCTTCAAGTATGTGAGAAAGGAATCTGTATGGTACTTTCTCTCATATAAAATTATGGTGTTTATTTTTTCTATTTAACCAATCATCATGACTATATAAACCACGATTGCATGATTTTTCTTTTATTTTTCTTTTTTTGCCTCTATGCATTTAGAATTGCTGAACATAAATCTATTGCCTTTCCCCCATAAGTGTGCTATCATGTGTATATTAGACATTCCATAGAATGTCTCTGTAGAAAATAAAATCTTCCAGTTTTGGGCTCACCTCCTTTGAATATAACTGTTTTATTTCATCATGTGTGTCATAAAAAATTACTGCTATCACTTACTTTGCCTCTTGTATGAACCACATTTTTGAGTAGTTGCTGAAACTTATTAATTCTTTGTTTTAATTACAAATTACTAAAAACTAATTTATGCAAATGAATTGGAAGTGGATTTCCTCAGTTTAAGAGCTTGCAGTTGTATTTCAAAGATTTACGCTTTATTCTAGAAGATGGATATGTATGTACTTGTTACATTTAGTACTTACAACACTAGCAAAGCAGTCCATTAATATTTTTTAGGTATGTTTTCCCGTAATAAGACATTCATCATTCTTGCGAGACTACGGTTTGTTTTACCCTGTGCTTCAGGATGAAACTGCAGTCAGTTGTAACAATAAGACCTAAAAAATGGAGAAAAATGTTCCTTTATTTTTGTATCAGCTAATGAAATTAGAATTATGTTACTTAGCTGCCATTCTGAAAGTGGACCAATAGAGGCTTTGTTAACACAAATGTGTAAAGTTTTGATTATTTATTAATATTGTGCCAAGATACAACTCTATGGGGGAAAAGTATTCTTTCATTGTATAATACCTCTGCTTTTACTATACTATTTGTATATGAAGACATAGGGTAACGTAGTGCTTAGTAAGCCTGAAGGACATGTTTGGCCTAATGTAACTGCTTTGCTTGTATTTCAGGGATATTATCAATTCACTGCATGTTTATTGGCAATCAGCAGTGGTTGGTAAGCAGTCATTTGATGTTTGTTTTTAATCATAACAGGAATTTCCATTTTTTACCTTGACGACCTTTCCACCAGGCTTTCTTGTCCATGTTGGTGGTGTTGTCAGTGCACGGTCTGTGAAGCTCCTGGATCGCATTCACAATCCTGGTATGTTAACACAAGAACAACTTCCTTGCTCAAGTCCAGTCATAATAGTCATGGAATGCTAATCTTTATAACTTTATAACATAACAGTGTTTGAATAGATACTAAACTATTCTAACAATGTATATTAAAAGCAGTATTTTTCAGACAATCATTTAAGCTTGAAAAATTAGTCACTCAGGGGGTGTGTTTTTAGTGAGTAACTTTTCAGCAAGTTAATGAAATAATTAAGTACTTTGAATCCAGTAACCTTGCACTAAAAACTGTCTTTCAATTACTGAGGGTTTAATTATTTTTTTTACCGCTTTTTAATATCAAAACTTGGTGCACATTTTCCTTTCAAACAAAATAAGATGAAATACTTGATCTTAACTATGAATGTTTTCTAATTTTCAGCTCCTTCAAATCCTTAAGGACTAATGACTACAGTTTAGCTCAATACATGTTTTTAACCTCTTTTGATAAAACCTTTACAGCTTTGTTTCTGTTCTTAAAAACATATACTGAACAGTACTTTAAGATTTTTATTTAATAATTACCTGGGAACCCCAGTACTAGAACATGTGTATTTTGCATGTCCTAGTTCTGACATCAGAATTAAGTGACTTTTGATTCTGAAGACTTTGTTGTTATATTCACTGAGACAAACTGAGGAATACTGTGTAAAAACTTGGCGTTAACAGCGTACTTAAAAATGCAGACAGAGGAGAGGAAAAAATAGCACCTGTAGTGGTTTTGCATGCACTAGTCAGGAGTAATAAAACAAAGTTTGTGCAAATGCATCTTTAAAAGCAATTTAAAATTTAAAAAAAAAAAAAAAAAAAGTCTTTTTCCTTTTCTTCTTGCTGTGGCCCAAGGCAGGTAATTCTGTAAGCAGGTAGGTTGTTGCTGATCTAAAGATTCAGTCAGCTGACAACATGAAATAAAATCCGAGACGTAATTTGAATTAAACTCCCCCTACTTTAAGGGATTTTTAAAAGCATACGAGTACACAATATTGTTCTTTGTTCCCTATTGTTAAGATTTATTTACATGGTGGAGGGAAGATTAAGAGAAATGTCAAAGTATTATTTATATGCGAGTCCTCCCTTTCTTTGCCACAAAGTTGTCTTAGGCGACTGTATTTTCAACAGATTTCTGATACAGGTCATTTTTATGCAAAATTTACTGTGTGATAAATTTACTTAAGACAAAATGAAAAAAAACCTCAAATTTGCTCAAAAGTTTTTTTTAAAACTGATTTCTTGCATTATGCACCCCTTTCTTTTTACCAGCTGACTGAAAGCAGGATAAGAATTAAGAGAAGATAGAGATGCATATTTGCACAACTAAGTGGCTCTTTGCAGTGTTTTTGTGGGACTTGCAGATTGCTCCTGACAAGTGAATGTAAGATGCATGATACTTTGAACTCAGTATATTGCAAAACAATGAAAACAAAAAGGGGAATGAAGGCACATGGCTATGGGAGGGGAGGCGAAGAAGTAGAAAAAAAAATTCTGATATAGTGATAATTGTACTAAGCATTTGAGTCAAGTCTGTAAAATATTGAAGGAAACAAACTGGCAAGTGAATAAACAGGAAAATGTAGAAGAGGAAAGAACATTTGAAGGTGTATTGAGAATTTATCAATAAGAGAATAATTGCTATATACTGTACACTTTGATCACGCCTAGTGCCAGATTGCTATAGCATGCTCCTTTTTTCCCTTTCTATTTCAGCCTCTTATTAACTCTGCTGTCTGTGTCTTTCCAGTTCCTGTGGAGTGGTGTTGTCAATTGTGTTCTTGTTGGTAGTTTTTTTTCACTATTCTGCTCCTATAACTGATCTACTAATTTGCTGTTTTGAACTCAGCCTTTGTCGGAATTATGGGTAACACAAGATCATACAAACTGCTAGACTGGAATAGTTTCAATTCAGGTATTTTACTAGTCATTCAGTACTACATATGCTGACAGAAATTATGGCAGCTCAGTGAAGTTCTTAGAAATGCTGTAGGATATTTAGGTTAATGCTTCAAATTTAAATCTGTTTAATTATCAAATGCCTAAATGTCTTGTTTTAATGTTGTTAAAGGCTTTCTTTAAAATCTCAAAACATTGTTTTAGTATAAAATAGCATTGCTAAGAATAGTATCAATCTGGAAAGCTGAATGTTCAGATGATTATTTTGTAGTAGCTTTCAGCTCAGTGTCCATGAAGCAAGTAATTTAGGGAAAGAGAATAGATTATTATTTATACAGTTGGGATCACGTCAGCTGTGAATTAATTTTTTTTTTTTTAAATAATTTTTTTTGTTCTTATTTGGTTTGATTTGGGTGGGGGCTGTTGGTTAGGTTTGTTTTTTTTTTTTGCATGAGCTTGCACCTCTTCAAGGGTGGCTGTACTTCTGTTAATTTCAGGAAATTGATGAATGTGTTTGTTCTAAATAATAGTTATAAAAATTGTCTGAGAGAATGGAAAATAGACAAAGAGGACTGTCTGTTTAAAGAGAAGGGTTGTATGTAGCCCAGGATTTGTTGGTTCATAAATCTTGTATTGTAAAATGCAATCAGCTTGCAGGACTTAGGGCATAATTATTTGAACTTTTTAATCACTTTAACATCTAACTTGAAAAAAGCCCCATTATTCTATTTTGTTATGCAGATTTATGGATCAAAGCATGTAACTTCTTTATACAGCTGCAGAGAGAATGGATGAATTGATGATGCAGTCTACATAGAGTACTGGCATCTTAGGGGAAGAAATAAAGACTATCTGCCCCCCCCCCCCCCCCCCCCCCCCCCCTTCCCCTCTGGAAATTTAGCATGCTTTGGAAGAAGGCAGGCATAACTTCTCTGCATATAATATCCAAGCCAGCAGACCTTGCCAAACTTTGTTTTTAAAGCTGGCACAGTAAAAAGGTATAAAGCTGACCTCTGGGGGTTTGTTTCCCCTGGGAACAAGCTTTTCGTCTTGGTACTTCACTGTTGCAGTGCAGCTCTCTGTCATGTTCTAAATTTCAGGTTAAATTATGTATATACATTTTTCAGTTTACAAATAGTTCAATAATAGCTAGTGCCTAAAACTATTGGCTCATTTTTGTATCCTTGTTCCTTGCTAGAATAAGTGTCCTGTAATATTATAATTATGGGGGTTTCTGGTTTTGTTGGTTTTATTTGCTTGTTCTAAAGTGATAATAATCTAAAATAAATTTCACTTTCTGTGTGAAAGCAGTATTATTAAATTCTCAAATCTATTACTGGTATAGCATAGTCTGATCCAAGATGTTAAAAATGTGTCAAAATTTTTCATCTTGTATGCGACCTTGAAAGGTTTGAATTAATTGTTGCTTCTTCAACATAGTGGTAGGATGTTACCATGGAAGAGTTTTATGAGAATAACAGAGTAATTGAGTTATGTGCAGACACTAAACTTACCTTGAGCTAGGCTACAAAGTGATCCAAAATGTAAGCCTAGGAAGTTAAGGGGAAGTCATTAATTCATTTCTTGACAGTAATTTTAGAGTTAATACCTTGCTGAGAACTGTATTTGTGTTGCCTTGAGATGTGTCAGCAGCTCTGTAGTAACAGTCTTGATTAATCCTACTAGTAGGGACTGAGCAGTTTATGCTTACAGTCCTGGAAGTATGTTTCTTTTGCAGTGCTAGGTGTGTTCCTGAACGAAGAAGAAAGGAGGAAGGGAGTAAATCAGTTGTTGCATATCATGTGTGATGGATAGTAGAGTTGCAGATTACATACAAGTTAACTCTGTTTTAGGAATAATGAATATGCTGTGCAGATCTGTTGTTATTGAGAAACCAAAGGAGAAGATTTCTATTCATTTCCACCTTCTAGAGCTTTATTGCCAACACTGTCATTGCTGGCTAATACTTGGTCTGAAGGAGAGCAGGGATTTATACAGCTTAAGGAAAACAATACTACATCTTTGCATTACATTCATGTTAGCAAGAGCGTGATCAGAAGCAGAAGTAGGCTAACATTATTTTCCTTTTTGAAAATGTTCAGGCTTCATTTAAGCCTGCTAGTAACCTGTTTAGTAACTCTTTTTTTTTTGCCAATGGCAGGGAGGTTTGTTTAATTAAAGTGTGAGATACAACAGGACCATCTGATGGTGGTGAAAAGTCAGAGATTTGAAGATGCTTGAAAATCAAACATGGAAGTAAAGAATGACTTTATTTCATGAATAGAAAAGAAGCTACTTAAATATCTGGGAGTTGCATATAGTTCAATGACAAAATCATTTAAATGCTTGTAAAATTACAAAAAGATGATCAAGATGAATCTGCAAGATAAAAGTAGAGAGACAAGAGCGCAAGTTCATAGAAAAGAGGGGACAATGCAGTGGAAGAAATAGTCTGGTGCTGTCTCTGAAAAAGGATGTTAAAGATGTACTATAAATATAAAAACATGAAAGTAATCCTGGATCCGTAAGACTGGATCTTTGTTAAAGTTTCTTCCTGAGGTTAAATAGAGGGAAGAAAGGTTCCTTAGGAAATGCAAGAAACTTGTTGAATAAAGACTGCTTTTACATATGGCTGTTTAACGCCACTAATATATACAGTGTTCTCGCGTAATTATGTTTTTAAACGCATCATTCAGGGAGCTGCTTCAGCAGTGATTCTTCAGTTCCAGTAGTCAGAAACATGGAAGGAGAAAAGATCGTTAATAAAATTCCTAAGGGTCTCCTGAGCTCCTTGTGTGATATCCAGACTTGCTGTTGGAATGTGAAATTCTCCAGAACTCTAGTTTTGTATATGAGGAAATGCAGGAGGAAAGCTTGAATATGTTCTGGTTCTGTAACTGAATGCTTTTCTTTCACAGAAATACAAACATGCAGTGAATGTGCAAATGACATTTCATACTGCTATCTGGGGTGTAAATGTGGCATACTTGTAAGAACACAGTAGAAAATGTCAGAATGTTTTTGTTAGTGTCTGATGTGGCTATCCCTCAGAACTAGCAGAAAACAACATTTTAAGCTTGACCTCTCACCTTTTTCTTGGAG